TTAACCAGGTGAAGCCTTCTTAAAGTGACATCGCTGTGCCATTAATATCATAACCCTGTCTTACAGAAATTCCAAGACATCGAAGAAAACCACATTCTCCACATGAAGGAGATCATTCAGTCGTACTCGTTGTATGTGGATGAAACACACATTCAGATAGGAGAGGTGAGTATGTACACACACACACACGCACAGACATTCCTGTGGGTGGAGTAGGTGTCTCGCTGACCTGAGGCTGTGCTCACTGGGTTCACTGTGCGTCATATCAATTAGTGTCGTCTTTGATCTCGCTAATAATTTAACCGAGGAGCAGGAAATGGTCCATCCATCCTTTTATGCCAAGCAATTAGAAACTGATCAAAACTCCCTCTCAGATCAAAACTCCCTCTCAGTCTATTGAAAGCACCTCCACAAGGGCAGAGACTTTGCCAAATACTGTGTATGGTAGTAAAAAGTGCTGCACGGGCCTCTTTTTCCTCTCTGGAGCAGTGTGTTTGGGTTTGGGTTTGGCATCAAGCACAATTGTGAAGGCTTTCAAACATCATTCAGAACTACATCAATCAGTATTCAGCGTGAACCAGAGATTGCTTTTCATTTAGTTATTTAGCACTCATACTTAGCAGTGCCACACAGAATACCTAACTACAATCTGCTGCTCTGTTTCATTAATCTGTAGCTGCTTTGTGCTAACGCTGCTGCTGTAGTTCCCTTAAAATCTGTAGAGGGCGACGCAACTCCACCAAGAGAATCAGAGTCTAGCTGTGGACAGTCTAAAAAAGAAATCCTCTTCAGTGTACACGGCTGGGAATAACAGTTGTTAATAAAAGTTGTTTTAGTGCCCTTATTTTCTGTCGTTGGATGTCATTTTATTGACGTGTCATTGTAGCCCCAGGACAACTTGAAAAAAAAAATGTTTACGCATTACGCACATATTTTTTTAAAAGTTACAAACCGAAATGTTTTTCCACATAAAAGCATTTCGGTTATTTGGAGCATTTTTTCTTAAAAGGCAATAATATTACTAATGACAGTGAAAAAAATTATATTTGTGGTTGAAAGTCAGCAGCTAAAGAACTGTTTCACATTTTCATTTAAATGATGACAAAAATCTGCGAGATGTGAACTCTCTGATTTTAAACAAGTGTTTCTTAGTTAGAAGTTCTAAAAATGTATTCTAAAGGGGGTGTAGCATTGAACCAAGACTCAAACATTTGTGAAAACCACAAAACTAAAGTCAAACGTTAGAAACTGTTTCCTCTTTAGGGTTCATCACGATGTAGATACAGAGGTGATGGGCAGAACCGCAGCATTGCACCTCCACTAATCTAACCCCTACCATGAGGCAACCTTTATGTTTATCAGTTCATCGGTTAGCCAGACACCTGCTTATGAATATACACAGGTGTTTATAAATCTTTCATAAAGGATTTGATCAGTTGTTTATGTTAGTACACCACCAGTCATACTGCCATCAGGGGCCTGTTAAAGTCATCACCAGGTATACAATCCCACATACATGCTCACAAATATCTACAAGGCTTCTGCTAGTAGAAGAAGAGTGTGTAAAACTATTCAACATATGTACATATGACGTAAAAACTACTGCTTCTCAGGTTTTTTTGTTTTTGCACATTTTTTAGAATTAAATGTTTAAGATCACCAAACTAATTTTATTATTGGTCTAAGATAACCCGAGTAAATACAAAATATTAATTTAGTTATTAAATGGAAAAGGTCATCTAAATATACATGTGTGCAAAAGTAATTGACCCAACTGTTAAATCACGAAGTAACTGTAATTACCGTAACCACATGTTTAAAAAAAAAAAAAAAAAAAGCTGAGTTCAACTTCACTAAACCTCTAGGGTCAAGAAATGACTTAACTAGAACCTGTCTGACAAAGCGTGAAGTAAGATAAAAGCTCACAGAGAGCAACTTATTATGCCACTATCAAAAGAAACAGCCGAGAAACACTGTCAGCTGGGAAAGCCTTACAAAGCAATAGCGGTGAACCTTCCGAGGAGTGCCTGTTC